CAAGAGACAGGGTCAGAGGCACCTTCTCTCCCTTTGCAGCTCTCTAGATGGATGTAAACTTCCACACCATCATTAGGATCCAGAGTTAACGTGCCCTCATTCTCTCCTTGTGCCTGGGCTAAGGGGTCACCCTGGTCACACAGAGTCGCTACCCCCTCTTCCAGCAACACAACAGCATCAGGCACAATATCAGGGTCACCATTGTCTGATTTCTGGGGTTCTGGCAAAACACTGATTGGGTCTATCCGAGTCACAGCCTCCTTTTCCCCAACAGACACAAACCTTGGGCCACCCCCTTTCTGGGCCTCAGCTGTATCCAGACCTAGCTTTGGGGCATCAACAACGCTCTCAGCCATCATAGGCCGAGGGGCACCTTCCTCAGGCAATGGACTGGGCGGAAACCCTTTCCCCACAGGCCGGCCACTGCCACTGTAGTGCCCATCTTCAAAAAAGGGAAGAAGGACAATCCAGGGAACTATAGGCCGGTCAGCCTGTGACTCAGCGACCAGGGAGCTTGTGAACAGGAGCAGCTAACAGGAAGTTTAGAGGGAGTTCTCCAGGTAAAAGAGGAGTAAAAACGGGACCCTTGTGGTAAGTGGCTGTCTGGAGTGTGTGTTTGTGTAGGGGGGAATTATTTGCTGTGTGCTGAGCTTGTGTTTGTCTGGTTGGTTGGTTGGTTAGTTTGTTTGAAGGATCTTCTAAAAGGTTTGAAATCTAGAAGCCTCTGTTAATTGGCTTTTAATTCCGTCACTGACCCACTGCTACTTCCACCAGCCAAATCGCCCACTTGCACACACTGTGCTTCACACCACTCCTTTTCACGTTGGGCAGGTTCAATTCCACAAACCTTATCAGTCACCAACTCCTCCCCCTTCAGAACTTTATGTTTTTCCTTAGCTACAACTCTGCTCTGGCCAGCCACTCCAGACTGCCCCAGAGCAACGTTTCCCAGATATCTGGGCTCTTCCTGCCCTGTTTCTGATTTCAGCCTCACCTCTGAGGCATCAGACAGGCCCATCAAACCCTCACTCACAGGCCCCCGGCCACCTGCCTCAGGCCTGTACTTCTTGCACAGCCCGGTTACTACATTATCTTGGTGAGGTACATCCACTATGTTATTCCCCACCAAGACCTCAGCTGGGATCAAGTCCCGGACAGCCACCAATACCTGTCTCCTAAAGCCTCCCCACTCGAGATGGACTTTAGCCATCGGCAGGTTCATCGAGTATTTAGACAAAGCCATTATCTTTACACTTTTCCTGGGCACCATGTCCTCTGGTCTCACCAGGTGCCCCTTGACTATCGTGATGTCAGAGCCGGTGTCCCGCCAGCCCTTATATCCAACTCCATTGACCTTCTCCTCCCCCATAAACTTCTCACTGCCCTTCCATGCCTCAGTCCTGCCACACTGGGAGAGCTCACTGCTCCCCCCCACTCCACGGAGTCCCCGCGGCTACACGCGGCACGGAGTAGGTAGTTCGAATTCGGCTTTCTAATCCGAACTACTGGTACACCTCGTTCCACGAGTAACGGTAGTTTGAATTAGAAAGCCTAATTCGAACTATCTACTCCGTGCCGCGTGTAGCCGTGGGCATGGAGTCTGAACTACCGGGGCTTTAAAAATGGCGGCGCCCAGCAAGATGCAAATGAAGCCCGGGATATTTAAATCCCGGGCTTCATTTGCAACTTCGATTGACTACATTAACCACCCTCGTTCGAACTAGGGTGGTAGTGTAGACATACCCTTACAGTGTTAACGTTAGCCACTGCAGTGCTCACATCTGGACCCAGGGTGGCTTCAGGGGCCTCGCTGGGGTCCAAGAGCCCAGCCTGTGTTTACACTGTAATTGAATTAGCGCTTACAGAGCGGCTGGGAGCTGCTGGCCTCGGGCTGTTCTTTAGGTCTGGACAGTCAGACCTTATATGGCCAGATCTGCCACAGTGATAGCACTTGTCCTGCTTATCTTTGGGGAGGACACCTCTGCTCTCAGGACTTCCCTGAGTTCCCTCGATGGATTAAGGGCTGGGTCTGTTCCTGAACCCCTCCCTCCATTTAGACTGGGGGGAAAGGTGCTGAGTCCTCCCCAAGGGTCTGTGCCCGTCCCGCGCCCTGTTCTGGGTATGAGCATCTGCAATCTCTGCAGCCTGTAGGACCGACTCAGGCTCACGATCACACACAGCCACCCTGACCTGGTCAGGCACCACATTTAGAAACTGCAACAGGGTGATCAAATCCAGCAGTTTCTCATAACTCCCATTTGCTTTTGCCCCCATTACCCACCTTTTAACAAAGCCCATCAGTTTATGGCCACATTCAACATAAGCTCAATCATTGGACATCCTAAAACTCCTGAACTTAACCCGGTGGGATTCAGGGGTACCCCTGAACCGCCTCAGTGCATAGTCCTTAAACCGCCAGTAGTCTAATGCTTCTTCCTCCCCCATGTCATTGAATACCTCCCTGGCCTTGCCAGTCAGTTTGGTCATCAGGACAGGCATGCGCTGCTCATCTGGGATCTGGTTCATGTTGCAGATGCGCTCGAAGGTGGCCAAAAACTCCTCGATATCGTCGTTATAGTTGAAGACGGGACAGATCTTTTTCCAAACCCTGTTGGCAAGTGGGGCTGGGCTCTCAGACTGCGATCTCCCTTGTTGCCTATCTGCTAACCGGATTTGGGCCTCCAGTTCTTTCATTCAACGAGCGTGGTCCGCCTCCTTTTTCTTTTCCTCCCTTTCAACCTCCGTCTCATTCCTCTTTTGCTCCCTTTCAGCCTCCTCTTGACGTATCTCAGCCAGGGCTCTCTGCTTTTCTATTTCCACGTCCTTCAATGCCTGTTGCTTCTTGACTTCCTCTGCAACCACATCCGTGGCATCTGGTGGGGACCGCTCCTTGGCCCGCAAGTCATCCTGCATCAGCAAAACTGTCAGCTGTTGCTTAGTAGTTTTCTTTGGGAAGGCAATGGCCCTCTGTGAGCATACGTCCTTCAGAGCCTCCCTGCTTAGGCTTTCATATTGGTGCTGACTCATTTCAGCTGCTCTTTACCCAACCAAACTCTCAGTACTAAAAATCAAATTTAGACAGCATGGGGTCTTGATCCCAAAGCTCAATTGACCAAGATCTGTGCATCCTGCCGACTACGCCACTGTGACGGACCGGGCCGTGTCTGGGCACAGCTGAGGGCGTCCACTCAGGGGGTGTGTCGACTGGTGACCTCTCCAAACAGGCCACAAACCAGTCCCACAGAGCACTTCAGCAGCCTGCCTGAAGCCTCACGAGCAAAACCCCTCCAACACCCCAGCAATATCCGTGCCCCGGATGGCCCCAGGCCTCATACACAGGTGTGGGGTCTTAGAACCCAAATCCCACCTACCCCGAACAAGTTCTGTCCGGTTCTAAGAAATCAGCCACAGATCCCAAGTCAATTTACCCTCTGGACCTTACCCACAAATCACGCTGAGCCAGTCCTTTAGCATCTAACATCTAAAGGTTTCTTGCTACCAGAAAGAAAAGCGATAGAAATGTAGCCGTGTTAGTCTGGTGTAGCTGAAACAAAAGCATGAGAGTAAGGTTGTTAAAGGATAATACTTTACATGCATCGAACCTCCCAGTTCTCGATGCAGGCTCTAGCAGAGATGTTATAGCTGCTGGCTTAAAAGTCCTTAGTTGCACATCCTAGGTTAGGATGGGTCCACAGTTCTTTCCGGCCCTTCAATCCCTGCACTCCTGCCTCTGGGATGAAGTGCTGAGCTGAGTACCCAGATGGAGTCAGCCACATGGCATCTTTATACATCCTTCCTGGTCTCTTATTGGCTGCAGCAGGTCACCTGGCCAGCGGCCTATCACTGTGTCCCCTGCTGGTAGCCCTTAGGTGTCGGTCACCATTCCTGAGTTGTGTCCTTGGCCCATTGAGTGCTATTGTCCAACAGGGCCTCGCTAATTATCATGTCTATTGGCCGGGCTTTGCCCAATGCTCAACCACATTCAGAAAGACTTCCAGTCTCCATACAGATTTTAGATTCCTAACTACACGCACAGACATTACACAGATATATGAAGAGCAGATAAGTAGAAAGTAAGCTTTTGTTTGACCCCTCACATGGCCCCCTTTGTACCACTTTTGAGGTGAACACCCCCCCACGGGTGCAGCAGTGACCCGGCTGCTCCCCTCACAATCCAATAATGTGATAGTTCCTAACCTGTTCTTTACCCACAAAGGGCTGTCGATCTTCATCCCATATTGCGTCACTTAGCGCGTTAGCCTGGGAGCCCACCTTGTCCGTGAATACAGAGGCAAAGGAAGCATTGAGTACTTCAGCTTTCCCCACATCATCTGTCACTAGGTCAGGCATGTCCAAAGTCCGGCCCACGGGCCAATTGCGGCCCGTGTTCTGGTTTAATACGGCCCCACAGGTAATCTGGCAATATCTATCTTTTATGGCCCCCAACGAATCCAACATGGACACAACATGTATACATGGACACAACATGTATACTTGGTGTTATGTTCCTGTTCATATTTTTTGAACTTAAAAGTTGACAGACAACCTTTATTACCAATAATATGTAATGTTCTTTACAATGTTCCTGACATATATTTCAACTTCCTGGATTTTTTTTTCATCTGGCCTTCAGATATGAAAGGCAGAGTGATTTAACACCTGTTTAGATTTGTCATCCATGTGACGAAATGAAAAGTATGCCGTTTGCAATAAACTTTGCATAAAATAGTTAATTTGCATTTAATTTTAATGGTTCAAAGAATGTCAGGCAAAATGGTCGGCCCTCACGCATGTTCACTTCATCAAATCTGGCCCTCGTTGAAAAAAGTTTGGACACCCCTGACATAGATGATAAAACTTTCTTCGAACAATTGAGCGAAGCTTCCAGATCGCATGTCTTGGTTCTCGTACAGGACTTTAATCACCCTGACATCTGCTGGGAAACCAATACGGCAGTACACAGGCAATTCAGGAAATTTTTGGAGAATGTTGGGGTTAAATTCTTGGTACAAGTGCTGAAGGATCCGACCAGGGGCCATGTGCAACTTGACCTTCTGCTCACAATCAGGGAAGAACTAATAGGGGACATAGACAACCTGGGAAGCAGTGATCATGGGGTGGTAGATTTCAGGATCCTGACCAAAGGAAGAAAAGAGAGTAGTAAAATATACACCTTGGACATCAAAAAAGCAGATTTTGACTCCCTCAGAGACCTGATGGGCAGAATCCCTAGAGATGCTAACATGAATGGGAAAGGAGTGCAGGACAGCTGGACAGCTTGCGAACAGGTGAGTGCCAATAGGGAGTTTAGAGAGGGAGTTCTCCAGGTAAAGGAGAAGCAGATACAGGACTCTTGAGGGAACTGTGTGTTGTTATTGGGGCTTTCTTACTGTGTGCTGAGCTTGTGTTTGTGAATGAGGGTTGGTGTGTGGTGGGTTTTTTTCTCCACTTCCTCTTTCCC